TCTTCTTTGGATAACTCTTCCATCTCCGTAGTTAATTTTTTCAGCAAATTAATGTCTCTCCACCTGCACGTTTTCAGCTTTTAGCATTAAGAAGTCAGCTAAAAGCGGAGGTACGCTTCTTAATCCCCAGCTATACTTATTTTTCGAGCCCGGTATCTATAGCATTTTTACTCATTTCATTTTACATATGTTTTCTTTGGCATTTTTTTTCGAACTTCTGATGTTTTTTTATTTTCCAGATCATTATTTGGCATCCTCTTCTTGGGTTACTCTTCCATCTCTGTAGTTAATTTTTCCAAGCAATTTAATGTCTCTCCACCTGCATATTTTTAGCTTTGAGCATTAAGAAGTAAAAGCGAAGGTACGCTTCTTAATCCCCAGCTATAGTTATTTTCCAAGCCCTGTAGCTATAGTATTTTTACTCATATTTCATTTTACATACGTTTTCTTTGGCTTTTTTTACGAACTTCTGATGTATGCTTTTTTCTTTTTTTTTTTTAAGATCGTTATTTGGCTTCCTCTTCTTGGGATACTCTTCCATTCTTATAGTTAATTTCCAGCAAATTTCTCCACCCTCGTGCTTTCAGTTTTGAGCATTGACAAGGTACGCTGGTCTTAATCCCCAGCTATAGATATTACTAGCTACATTATTTTTACTCAAAATTCATTTTACCATATGTTTTCTTTTGCCTTTTGCCATCTTTTCGTGGATATATATGTAATTAAGTATGACTTCAAATCGTTACTTCATTGTGTGTGTGTGTTTTTTCTTCATTTTTGTTGAATAATCCCTATACATATACTACCATATTGAACATAACATAGATAATATTAGGTGATTTAATTAGTATTGTTTAAATATATTTTTATTTAAAAACATTTTAATTCTTGATAGTCTTTTTATTCATTAGAACATCTATTTATTCTTAATTAAATTATGTCTTTAATTAATATAATGATGATTATAATGATGAATATCTTATAAAATTTAATAATATCCCATTAGAAAAACTTGGACACGTAACAAAAATGAAAAATTTCAAAACTAAAAATGCTGTGTGTGGACACTACAACGTGGGTAGCGGCACTCTTGTTTATTTCATCCTACACCCATATATAATCAGCAATTTAGTTTTATTCGCTTAGATCCGTGAAAGTGACCTCTCTTGTCCTAATACAGTCTTTCAACTTTAAAGAATATCTAGTTAAGTCCAAAAACTTCTTTTATTATACATTTAAATCCTTTTCTGTACAAAAAGTAAAAATTTATATAAATTCTATTAAAAGGACATCCTATCCATCTATCAAAGAGAAAAAAAAATCAAGTGTAAAATAAGAAATTAAAATATATTATAGGCTTAAATCCAAGAAAAAAAAAAAGCTTAAAGCTGGGGAAACTCACACAAGCCCACATTGTCAATAATATTATCAGGCAACGCCCAAGAGATGAGGAAACAATAATACTAAAATGGGAAAAAATCCGAATCAATTTAAAATTTTCCGAAAACAAACAGATAATGGGGAATTGAAATAGAAAAAAGGGAACCAAACTCCATTGGTTTTTTATGCTGAGCAATTAAAAGTTAAATGATCAAATATGTTAGGGGAGACAAGCTGAGAGTTTCAATTAAAAATCTACTCGCAAATTATGATATAGCAAAATTCACGTCAATTTTACTAATTTTATGGAATGGTAGGCTTCTGCTAAGTCCTATTTGCCACTATCATTAATTGTCATCATTACTTGATAATTCTCTTGTAGTGAAAGTGTCTCAGAGGGTATTCTTGTCAAAGGAGTCAAGATGCTCAGGCAACGCAGTTAGAGAACTATGAATTAAATGATAAAATGTTTCAAAAATTGAAGTGAAGTTTAATTTGATTTTGATTAGTTAGTTTATAAATCTTCATAATCAATATTAGAGCTTTAATTTTTTTAAAATTAAAATTGATATGCATTATTTTTTAAAATTTATTTATTTTAGAGAATAATAAAAATCAAAACATCAAAAAATATAGATAAAATTATTTAAACATCTTTAATAAAATATTTTTATATATCAATTTAT